GCATTTGTGAGTTTTGAGAGTGCTGCATGCACAATGGGGTTCATGCTGTGCAGATGAGAACAATACAGCGCATAGTTATATATTTTCCTGCTGAATCTCAGTGCCCTCTAACCAGGGATAACCCTATTATGTTCTCTAGATGTATGCTGAGGTATGGAACCCTCTGCTCAATCCTGCTCCTTTTACAGTCAATAATAAAACTCCAGTAGGCTTCAATGGGAGCAAGATAGGACCCAATGGAATTAGGAAGCCCAGCTCTGAGTTTACAGAGGAGCATTGTGCACAATGGGGTTAGGAAGCCCAGGTCAGAGTGTACATGTAGACATGGCACACAGCTAGAATAGGAAGTCCTAAAGAGGGAATAAAGAGAGGACCAGTCTGCAGGTGGCTGTCATTACCTCACACTCAATTTTCATGAAAAGAAAGTGATTGGAACTCTATATCCTGGGTTTGGACAGTGGGGCTATGTATCAAAGAAACAGGTGTAATTCATATTAGGGGGAGCCAAAGTACAGCCCTGGAGCTAAAGGCAGCCTACCACATTCTACAAAGAGGGCCTTCAGCTGTCTTCACCTTTAATGTAGAAAGGTGGATCTTGGAAATTAGAAGTTCCAACATGCAGTTCAGTATGGATGTTTACATTATGGTGGACTATTAGATGCTGGGACACATTGTCTCTATTGGTCACACTGAAAATATTAAAGATGCGTAGTAACTGCCAGCCTTTTCTCTCCAGGATTATGGTGAGTTGCCAATGCCACCACTTGGTTGGGCAAAGTTTGGGCTCAGTGCAGCACAAATGGCCTTATTCTTGTTTGGCAAGCAATGGGTTAAAAGGTTGGCCTTGAAGGACTCTTACTTTCCCCTTTTTTAAACTCCAGTTTGGAACTTGGCAAAACAAAATGAACTGCCCCTGGAGCCAAATCCAGGGCTGGCCTGATGGTCAGAGACACTCATTCCCCAAACCAGTGCCACTGTAACCCACTGTTCAGTCTCTGTTACATGTCACCCTTTAGTGGCTAGTCCACAGTGGGTCAGAGTCTACACAGGAACATAGGAATTGCCACAATGGATTAGATGAAGGTCCTTCTGATCTAGCAGATCATCAGACAATGGCCAATGCCAGATGCTTTAGAGGGGAAGGTGTAAGGTCCCCACAATAGTGAGCTGTGAGATACCTTCCCCCACACATTAGAGCTCATCCGGTCGTTTAATAGTTAGTGATTGGCTTAAACCAGGAGTGGGGAACCTTTTTTCTATCAGGGGCCACTGACCCACAGAAAAAATAAGTTGCAGGCCACACACAGGCCCATGGGGGAGCATGGAGGCTGGGGGCTTTCCTCCTCACAGGGCGAGCCGGCGCTTGCAGCTCCAACCCTGCAGGGGGGTGGGGGTGCAGAGGCTCGGGGCTTCCCCTAGGCTCTGAGGTGGGACCAGAAATGTGGGGTTCAGGGTGCAGGAGGGGCTCCAAGCTGGGGCAGGGGGCTGGTGTGTGGGAGGGGGTGAGGGCTCTGGCTGGGGGAGCAGGCTCTGGGGTGGGGCTGGAGATGAGGGGTTTGGGGTGCAGGAGGGGCTCTGGGCTGGGGCCAGGGGAGTTGGAGTGCAGGAATGGACTCAGGGCTGGGGTAGGGGGTTGGGGTGCAGGAGGAGGTGTGGGGTGCAGAGTCTGGGAGGGAGTTTGAGTATGAAAGGGAGCTCAGGTCTGGGGCAGTGGGTTGGGGTGGGGGTGGGGGTGCAGGCTCCAGGAGGAAGTTTGGGTGTGGGAGGAGGCTCAGGGCTGGGGCAGCAGGTTGGGGGGCAGGTGGGGGTGTGGAGTCTGGGAGGGAATTAGGGTACGGAAGGGGGTTCCAACCTGGGGCAGGGGGTTCGGGGTGTGGGCTCTGGCTTGGCAGCACTTACCTCAGGCAGCTCCCAGTCAGTGGCGCACCAGGGCTAAGGCAGGCTCCCTGCCTGTCCTGGCTCTGCGCTGCTCCCAGAAGTGCCCACCATATCCGGCCACTAGGTGAAGGGGCCGGGGGACTCTGTGTGATGCCTTGGTTCCCAGCCAATGGGAGGTGCGGAGTAGGTGGCTGGGGTAGCACACAGAGCTTCCCTAATCACCCCTGCACCTTGGGGCCACAGGGACATGCCAACCAGATTTTTAATGTTTTGGCAACTCTCCCCCTGCAGTGGGGCAAGCTGGCGCTTACTGCTTCAGCCCCGTAGGCGGGGCGTCAAGGCTCGAGACTTCCGGCCTGAGGCGGGGAGACTTGCCACGGGCCAGATGAAATGAAACAGGGCACCGGATCCGGCCTGCGGGCTGGAGGTTCCCCACCCCTGGCTTAAACCTTGAAACATGAAGTTTAATATCCCTTCCAAAATTTTGTTATAATTAATTGTGGTTGTGATGGGTTCAGTCACAGAGACCCCCTTGGGACTGTCACCTGATGGGCTGAGACTACTTCTGAGCCCGTTTTCTCTGCCAGTTTGGACCTTCAGAACCCTGTCTTGTTGAGCCAGATATGCTAATCTGCTGCAACACAGTCTGACCCACGCCCCCAAAGCTGCAGACTTAACTGAAAATGGCTTAGCAAGTGCTCCTGTCTCTTGCACCCAGACACCCAGCTCCCAATGGGATCCAAACCCCCAATGAATCCATTTTACTCTGTATAAAGCTTATACAGAGTAAACTCATAAATTGTCTGCCCTCTATAACACTGATTGATAGAGAGATATGCACAGCTGCTTTCTCCCCCAGGTATTAATTACTTACTCTGGGTTAATTAATAAGCAGAAGTGATTTTATTAAATATAAAAAGTAGGATTTAAGTGGTTCCAAGTAATAACAGACGGAACAAAGTAAGTTACCAAGCAAAAACACACAAGTCTAAGAAACTGAATACAGGTAAATCTCATCCTGAGAGATGTTCCAATAAGCTTCTTTCACAGACTAGACTCCTTCTTAGTCTGGGCCCAATCCTTTCCCCAGTACAGTTTTTGTTAGTTCCAGCTTAGGTGATAATTAGGCGATTTCTCATGATTGGAACCTCCTTTGTTCTGTTCCACCCCCTTCTATAGCTTTGGCACAAGACAGGACTGTTTTGGCTCTCTGGGTCCCCACCCCTCCTTCTAAATGGAAAAGCATCAAGTTTAAGATGGATTCCAGTACCAGTTGACATGATCACATGTCCTGTGAGACCCGAAGTCTTCATTCTTCCTGACCTGACTCACAGGAAGGCTTGCAGGTAAACAGAGCCATTTACAACCAGTTGTCCTAGTTGATGGGAGCCATCAAGATTCCAAACCACCATTAATGGCCCACACTTTGCATAATTACAATAGGACCTCAGAGTTATATTTCATATTTCTAGTTTCACATACAATAATGATACATTTATACAAATAGGATGACCACACTCAGTAGATTATAAGATTTGTAATGATACCTTACAAGAGATTTTTACATGAAGCATATTCGTTAAATTATATTCACACTCATTAGCATATTTTCATAAAATCATATGGAGTGCAATGTCACAATGGTAACTCTGGCTATTCTCTGTATCCATATATATGTCCAATCCCTTTTTGAATCTTGCTATGTTTTTGGCCTCAACAACTTTCTGTGGCAATGAGTTCCACAGTCTAACTATATGTAGGGTGAAAAAAGTATTTCCTTTTCTCAGTTTTGGATTTGCCATCTTTTAATTTAATTGACTGCCCTCTTGTTCTTGTCTTACTTAGCTCAAGTGGATGGAGGCTCATGGTTCTAGCACTGAAAGGCCAGGCAATGACTCATGATGACAGGCTTTCATTAAGCCATCCTGATGGTAACAGATGACCTCCTCCCCTCCTTAAAATGGCTGGCCCCAATTTTGGCGAGACGTGTCCTCTTCCCTGTCCTTTAATACCAGCCTGATGATGAGGCCCGCCCACCACAATCCTCTTCCCTTACAGACCTTTTGTCAGTCATCTATACTTCCTGAGAGATTACCCATTCCCACTTTCTACTGATGAAACCCCTGCCCACAATGTCACCAAGCACCTACCCCACTTCTTCTCTCCCCTTCCACCCCCATATATCTAAGCCCCCCAGATCTCTCCCTGCCCTCATGTTGCCACCTCTGATGTACAAAAAAACCCAGGAGATTAAGGATGAGCCTGAGCCTATAAAACTGGACAACTGGAGTGTGTACTGAGCACCCTTACAGATTTCCTGGCACAGCTACCTCAAGAAGAGACAATGCTGGGAAAACCTAGGCAAGGGGTAGCCCTACCCTGCCCGTATATCCCCATGGCTCCTGGTTTTGCTCCTCATGCTATGGGACCCTAAGAGCTTGTCTATACCAGGTGTTATCATTTTAACTAGCCTAGCATGATGATGCACCTTGTGTGGATGCTGTTGTACCGGCATAAAAGTGCCTATACTGGTATAGTTTGTTTGGAAAGGGGAATAAGCTATACCGCTATAAGGCACCTTTACACCAGTACAACTGCATCCACGCTCGGGCTTATACCCGTGTAACTCTTATCAGTAAAAAAACCACCCCCTCCCTGCCCTAGCTATACCAGCCTCACTTCTGTATTGCAGCTAGGGTGACCAGACAGCAAATGTGAAAAATCAGGACGGGGGTGGGGGGTAATAGGAGCCTATGTAAGAAAAAGACCCTAAAATCGGGACATCTGGTCACCCTAATTGCAGCCCAGCCTCTCCAGCCCGATCACCCCATTCTCCCCAGACCTCTCCCCTTAGCCAACGCCCTCCAGACCCCTGAGACCCCTCCCCCTTGAAATCTCTCTCCAGGGCCTAGCTCTATGGCCTTCCTGACTAGGTCCTCTCCCCACCGCCCACATGCTACTCTTCACCCCAGCTTGCTGCCCTGTTGTCCCAGCGCCGCCTCAGCTCCTCCCGCGGCCGGCCCCACCCTCCGCCTCCCGCGCTCGCCAGGATTGGCTGAGCGCGAGCTCGCTGCGCAGGGATTGGCTGAGCGCAGAGGCCCGCCCTTTGTGTCAGCGGGCTAGGTTACTCAGCGTGAGGTCGGCGGCAGCCTACTTGCGGGTGCTTTAGTACTACTCGCTCCCTCCCCCTCCCGGCCGGGCCCGCAGGGAGAGTGACACTCATCAGGCGGCTCCAGCAGCTCGCAACCGCCATCCCTGTCGGTAAGAGCCTCCGTGGGGCTCCGACGGCGCGAGCGGGGAGGGTCCCCGGGGCAGGGTGTGTGTGTGGGGGACCCCAGGGGCGGAGCGGAGGCGTGGGCCCGGCGGGGAGGAGGGGGCCGGCGGCGGCCCGCCGGGGAGGGGAAGGGCTCTTGTGGGGGTCCGGTGGGGGTGTGAGGGGGAGGGGAGAGCAGGGCCCTAGAGGAGCTGCTGGGGCGCCGGGAGGGGGGGAAGCTCTTGGGGCAGGGCCCTGGGGGTGGGGTCTTGGGAGCGAGGGGGGCAGCGGTGAGGGCGGGGCGGGTTCCTGGGGGAGGGCAGCGGTGCGGGTGGGGCCCTGGGAGTGAGGGGGGCAGCGGTGAGGGTGGGGCGGGTTCCTGGGGGGGCAGCGGTGCGGGTGGGGCCCTGGGAGTGGGGGAGCCGCGGTGAGGGCGGGGGGGGGGTTCCTGGCGGGGGGCAGCGGTGCGCGTGGGGTGGGGCGGGGCGGGGCAGGGCTCTGCGTGGGGGGGGGGCAGCTGTGACTCTGGCAGAGGGACCCTGAGGTGGGGTGCCCTGCGGGAGTTGGTTGCAGAATTGGCGTGGCTGTGAGGGTTGATTATTTCTTCCATGATCCTCTGGGGTGTAGGAAGGGAGACGTTCCCAGCTGAGTCTATGGAAGGGGTGAAGTGGTTACCCCCCACCGTCTCGGGATGGGGTATGACACCCCTCTTTCTTTCCCTGCTCAGGAGCCTGAGTCATTTCCTAGCTCCATCCCTTAGGCAGCTTTCTCTTTGCTGGCAGTGGCTGTCGTATCAATGTCTGTTAGGGGTTTCTTGGGGGGCTACACTGACCTAATCAGACCCTTTGCCCCACTTCCCAGCATGAGCTGACCCCTAGTGATATGGGGCTCTGGCCTCCGGTCAGCCCTGGGATGGTCTGGTAGAGAGAGGGACAGAGTTGGGACCACAAACCTTTGCTTGCTATAGGATTAGTGGGTTTTCTACTGGGGGAAGGGCACACTTGAATAAGTACACTCAAAATTTCCCCAGCCAGAACTTCCCAAAATCTCACTTCAGAGCTCTGAATCTCATCCCTTCCCTCCCTCAACCAGAACACCCAAACTTCCCCTTAATCTCCCTCCCTCCCAACCCCCAATAATTCATTTTTCTTCAAATTAAGGGATATGGGGCATTTTATGCCTTTTATGGGAATGGAAGTTGAATTATAAATCACAAGCTGGTGAGGTGGCAGAATCCTGTTCAGTGCAACAAACTGGAACATTATGGGGGTTAATTTAATTTGTGGTAATAAACAATATTTTGTAGTAAGGGTGTGATGGGCTGCAATAATTGGCACGTATAAAAGTGACAGGAAATTCAAAGCGGGGGTGGGAGGAGGAGCATCCTACAGCATCTGTCTTGAGCAAGAGATGTGGGGGATTTGTGTCTGGGTCATCCCAGAGGAAGTGGGAGCTTCTGGCAAAGGTTTTGTTGCATTGGAGGGAAGAGGCTATGTTCCTAGTGATAGCTTTGCTGTTCCTGCAGTTTTATTTGAAACAGCATTTTCGTGAACTCCTCTTCCTCCCTCTTCCCCCCCCACCCCCGTTCAAACTCACAGAAACACATATGTGTTTGGTCAAATACAGTATTGCATGTTTCAGAGTAGCAGCCATGTTATTCTGTATTCGCAAAAAGAAAAGGAGTACTTGTGGCACCTTAGAGACTAACAAATTTGTTAGCCAGTATTGCATGTCAGGGCTTCTTATCTGGTCCTCTTGAAGCTTTTTGTAATGTGGTTCCCCTCTGCTTCCTTGCTACAATTCTGGCTGGCTGGTCTCCTTCCCTACTTTACAAGGATGGTTGTGGCATTGCATCAGGGGATATTTGTGCTGTAATTCAGTAACACAGCAAGGATAAGCATTTGCAGAGCTGCTGCTTGCTTGCAGCTTGATGAGATGGGTGTGGTAAGCTGAGTGGATACAGCAGACGCTAGGCCTATACGGTAACACTGCCCAGTCATAAGCACAGAGATTCAAACGCCAAGCTATTTATATAAATTAGGCCTAGTTTCAAGCTGAGCACATTGATTTAGAAGGAACAGTTGTCATATTTTCAGTATTAAATGAGTGTTTGCTATGACACTATATAGTACTGTCACTGGTAAGTTTAGAAACAAGTGCCATGGAGATGTTGGATATGAAAAGTCCACTCTGAATAAACGTATTCCTCGTTAGGTGTATCTTGATCCTGACAGTATGCTTTGTTGTTGTAATGTTCAGTCTCTTTCTGTCAAATCCATGCCCTGATTAAGCCTATTAAAGCTGAATTAATATTTTAGCCCAACTTTCCTGATAAACCTTCTTTAGCTTTTAAACCCCATCACCATTGTAATAGTCTTCATTTCACTTTATCTTTGGTGGGGTGCCCAGTGGAAGTTGGTTGGAGAATTGGGGTGCCTGAGAGGGTTGATTATTTCTTCCATGATCCTCTGGGTGCAGGAAGGGAGACGTTCCCAGCTGAGTCTATGGAAGGGGTGAAGTGGTTCCCCCCCCATTTCTGTTTATGGGTGTCTAAGCTCCTATTACAGGGTGGGCAAACTTTTTGGCCCAAGGGCCATATTTGGGTGCAGAAACTGCATGCAGGGCCATGAATGTAGGGCTGGGGCAGGGAGTGCGGGGTGTGGAAGGGAGTGCGGGGTGTGGAAGGAGGTGCGGTGTGCAGGAAGGGGCTCGGGGCAGGGGGTTGGGGTGCAGGAGGCAGTGTGGTATGTGGGAGGGAGCTCAGGGCAGGGGGTTGCGGTGAAGGAGGGGTGCGACGGGGCCCAAGGTGGGGTTGCAGTGCAGGAGGGGAGTGGGGTGCGATGGGACTCAGGGCAGGGGGTTGGGTGTGGGAGGGCACTCAGTAATAAATAATAATAAAGTCCAATTATTGCAGCCCATCAGGGTTGGGGTGCAGGAGAGGTGTGGCAGTGGGTTAGACTCATAGAATATCAGGGTTGGAAGGGACCCCAGGAGGTCATCTAGTCCAACCCCCTGCTCAAAGCAGGACCAATCCCCAATTAAATCATCCCAGCCAGGGCTTTGTCAAGCCTGACCGTAAAAACTTCTAAGGAAGGAGATTCTACCACCTCCCTAGGTAACGCATTCCAGTGTTTCATCACCCTCCGAATGAAAAAGTTTTTCCTAATATCCAACCCTAAACCTCCCCCACTGCAACTTGAGACCATTACTCCTTGTCCTATCATCTTCTACCACTGAGAATAGTCTAGACCATCCTCTTTGGAACCCCCTTTCAGGTAGTTGAAAGCAGCTATCAAATCCCCCCTCATTTTTCTCTTCTGCAGGCTAAACAGTCCCAGTTCCCTCAGCCTCTCCTCATAAGTCATGTGTTCCAGACCCCTAATAATTTTTGTTGCCCTTCGCTGGACTCTCTCCAATTTTTCCACATCCTTCTTGTAGTGTGGGGCCCAAAACTGGACACAGTACTCCAGATGAGGCCTCACCAATGTCGAATAGAGGGGGACGATCACGTCCCTCGATCTGCTGGCTATGCCCCTACTTATACATCCCAAAATGCCATTGGCCTTCTTGGCAATAAGGGCACGCTGTTGACTCATATCCAGCTTCTCGTCCACTGTCACCCCTAGGTCCTTTTCCGCAGAACTGCTGCCTAGCCATTCGGTCCCTAATCTGTAGCGGTGCATTGGGTTCTTCCGTCCGAAGTGCAGGACCCTGCACTTATCCTTATTGAACCTCATCAGATTTCTTTTGGCCCAATCCTCCAATTTGTCTAGGTCCCTCTGTATCCTATCCCTGCCCTCCAGCGTATCTACCACTCCTCCTAGTTTAGTATCATCTGCAAATTTGCTGAGAGTGCAATCCACACCATCCTCCAGATCATTTATGAAGATATTGAACAAAACCGGCCCCAGGACCGACCCCTGGTGCACTCCACTTGACACCGGCAGCCAACTAGACATGGAGCCATTGATCACTACCCGTTGAGCCCGACAATCTAGCCAACTTTCTGCCCACCTTATAGTGCATTCATCCAGCCCATACTTCTTTATCTTGCTGACAAGAACACTGTGGGAGACCGTGTCAAAAGCTTTGCTAAAGTCAAGAAACAATACATCCACTGCTTTCCCTTCATCCACAGAACCAGTAATCTCATCATAGAAGGCGATTAGATTAGTCAGGCATGACCTTCTCTTGGTGAATCCATGCTGACTGTTCCTGATCACTTTCCTCTCATGTAAGTGCTTCAGGATTGATTCTTTGAGGACCTGCTCCATGATTTTTCCGGGGACTGAGGTGAGGCTGACTGGCCTGTAGTTCCCAGGATCCTCCTCCTTCCCTTTTTTAAAGATTGGCACTACATTAGCCTTTTTCCAGTCATCCGGGACTTCCCCCGTTCGCCATGAGTTTTCAAAGATAATGGCCAATGGCTCTGCAATCACAGCCACCAATTCCTTTAGCACTCTTGGATGCAACGCGTGCGGCCCCATGGACTTGTGCACGTCCAGCTTTTCTAAATAGTCCCTAACCACCTCTTTCTCCACAGAGGGCTGGCCACTTACTCCCCATGCTGTGTTGCCCAGCGTAGCAGTCTGGGAGCTGACCGCCTTCGTGAAGACAGAGGCAAAAAAAGCATTGAGTACATTAGCTTTTTCCACATCCTCTGTCACTAGGTTGCCTCCCTCATTCAGTAAGGGGCCCACACTTTCCTTGGCTTTCTTCTTGTTGCCAATATACCTGAAGAAACCCTTCTTGTTACTCTTAACATCTCTTGCTAGCTGCAGCTCCAGGTGTGATTTGGCCCTCCTGATATCATTCCTACATGCCCGAGCAATATTTTTATACTCTTCCCTGGTCATATGTCCAACCTTCCACTTCTTGTAAGCTTCTTTTTTATGTTTAAGATCCGCTAGGATTTCACCGTTAAGCCAAGCTGGTCGCCTGCCATATTTACTATTCTTTTGACATATCGGGATGGTTTGTCCCTGTAACTTCAATAGGGATTCCTTGA